CCTTGCAGTTGGCGTGAATCTTAAGGTTAGGAAAGTTATAGAAAATGACACATGTTGGATCTGTGAAGCAACTCTAGAATCAGTTAGCCACTGTCTATTCCAGTGCCATTGGGCCAGGGCGGTCTGCTTCTCTTCCCGTTTGGTCTGTTGACTAACCAAGGGGATCGCACTTTTGCTTTCCAGCCTTTTGAAAGAATTCTACTGGCAAAATTTCTGGATTCAGAAGTGTACCCAAATGCTTTATCTGTCTTTGCTTTATTTTGGCTGATTTGGAAAGGTAGGAATGATCTTATTTTCAATGAAGTAAACTCTGACATTGTTGATCGTGCTTCTATCTAAATGAGCACTGTCCACAACCTTCTAAGGATGGAGATTGGAGCCAACTCAAGTCCGAATTGAGTTGGATCAGGTACGACGGGCCTCCCATGCAAGTTTTGCTCACATAAGAATAGATGGTGCCTTCTCAGGATTAAGTAGGGTCGGTTATGGTTTTGTCATTTTCAACTTGGGTGGGGCTTTTTTTGTGTTCAGAAGTTGAGGCAGACATCCCAAGATCCCCCCTTTTTTCAGAAGCTTACGCTGTACTCAAAAGCATGAAGACAACTTCGTCTCTGGAGCTCAAAAGCATTGAAATTAAGTCGGATTGTGTTGAACTGGTGAACATTCTGAAAGGAAAATCTCTGCCTGCGGTAGAAATTTGGTTCGTTTATCAAGATATCAAAAGTGTTTCCAAGATTTTTGATCAAGTGTTTTTTCATCACATTCCACGGGCTTACAACCCTGTAGTTCGATAGAGAAGAGAGGAGAGAAAAGAGAAGAATCTATTCTATTAATCTAAAGCTAGCGGCACCTAAGTTAGTATTTATACTTAGGGCGACAACTCGTAAGAAATACAAGAGGAAAGGGCAGAAATGCCCCTACTAGGCCTTAGGCCGCTATACATTACAACACTGCCCCTCAAGATGGAGCATATATGTTAATCATGCCCAACTTGTCACATAGTTCATTATGCCGTAAATAGTGAAGACCCTTTGTAAGAACATCTGCTAGTTGTTCATTGGAACTGATGTAAGGAATGCAAACTTTTCCCTTTTCAAGTTTATCCCTTATGAAGTGCTCGTCAAATTCAATATACTTGGTCCTATCATGAAGAATTGGATTGGCAGCAATATTAATGGCAGCCTTGTTGTTAGAGTAGAGAGACCCAACTGTCTAATCACATTCTTTACCCATAGTACTTCAGCAACTCCATGTGCCATGGCCCTATACTCGACCTCAACACTAGATCTGCCACAGTACTTTGTTTTTTGTTTCTCCAAGTAATCAAGTTTTCACCAACACTGGTATAATATCCACTAGTTGATTTCCTATCATTAACTGCCCCAACCCAATCTGCATCTGTATAAACTTCCACTTTCATATGATCATGTTTCTTGAAAAGTAATCCAGTTCCTGGATACTTTTTCAGATACCTGAGAACCCTCTCAGCTGCCTCTAAATGAGAGGATGTTGGTGCCTGCATAAACTGACTAAGTACATCGACAACATAAGCTATATCTAGCCGAGTCATTGATAGGTAGAGAAGTCTTCCTACTAGCCTTTGGAATTTCTTGACATCTGTCACGGGTTCTCTAATACAATCACCAAGCCGATGGTTTTCCTCAATAGGAGAATCTACAAGCTTTGCTCCTAACTTTCTTGTGTCCTACAAGAGATTTAAGACATACTTCCTTTGGAAAATGAATATGCCATTTTTTGAGCGAGCAACCTCAATACCAAGGAAGTAACGTAGCTGTCCTAGATCTTTCACCTCAAACTGCATAGCAAGGGATTCTTTGACCTTTTTAATCTTAGAGTCCCAATTCCCCGTAATCACAATGTCATCAACATAGATAATTAATACCACAACATTCTTCTGGTTTCTCTTGACAAATAGAGTATGGTCAGATTGGCATTGCTTGAACCTAATTTGTTAAAGGGCCAAGTGAAATCTACTGAACTAGGCCCTTGGGGATTGTTTCAAACCATATAAAGATCTTTTTAGTTTGCAAACTTTCCCTTCAAACCCTTGTGCTACAAACCCAGGAGGCTGAATCATGTACACTTCTTCTTCTAGATCCCCATTTAAGAATGCATTTTTGATGTCTAGTTGGTGGAGCTCCCAATAAAAGTTAACAGCCAAGGATAGTATAATTTGAATAGTATTCATTTTAGCAACTGGGGCAAAAGTCTCAACGTAGTCAAACCCATACACTTGAGTATACCCACTTGCATCCCATTGGCTCTTTGCCTTCAGGAAGATTGACCAAATCGTAAGTGTTGCTTTTGTGAATAACACTAATTTTTTCCTTCATTGCTTCTGTCTATTCAGGTATAGATAAAGCTTTTGCAACACTTTTGGGAATGAAGACACAATCAATGGCAGTCAAAAAGGCACGAAATGAGGGAGCAATGTTTTCGTAGAACAAGAATTGAGCAATAGGATGCTTAGTAGTACATGATCAAACCCCTTTTTTATGAGTAATTGGGACATCAAGATCAAGATCATTCGTAGAGTCATCAATAGCAATAGGTTCAGTAATATCAAAAGGATCATGGGTACCTAGATTTTCCTTCAAGGAGTTAGGTGGTGTTGGATGTATAGTCTCAAGTTGCTCCACAACCTTTGAGTTTAGCTGTCCCTTACGGTGCCTCAAGAAGACACGAAATGGAGAGGAGTTAGGAATATATGGAAAAGGAATTTGAGGAGATGGAGCTTGCCTCTCCTCCTTCACACTATTCTCCCCCTGAGGAGAGGCTTGGAAGAAGGGTTCAGATTCAAAGGACACATCCATCGACACAAAGTACTTATGTGTGACTAGATTAAAGCATTTGTAATCTTTTTGGGAAGAGGGATAACCCAAGAAAACACATAGAACAGATTTGGAATCAATTTACCCCAGCTGGGAGGGAGATCATCAACAAAACACTTACACCCAAATACACGTAGGGGAATGAAAAATAAAGGAGATTGAGGAAAAATAAGTTGATGTGGGGCTTTGTATTACAGGAGGCGCGAAGACATACGATTAATAACATAAGCTGCAGCCATCACAACCTCAACCCAAAACCATTTTGGAACATGCATGTGAAGTATCATACTACGGGCATCTTCGAGGAGATGGCAGTTCTTCCTTTCAACAATGCCATTCTGTTGCGGTGTTCTAGCACATGAACTTCTATGAAGAGATCCATGAGAGGAGAAAAACTTGGCTAAGTCATGATGGAAATACTCCTTCGCATTATCCGATTGGAAAATTTGGACTTCAACATGAAATTCAGTGATAACCATGCGATGGAAATCTTGCACAATCTTGGGTACCTCTTCTCTCGAATGCATGGGATATATAGCCAAGTGTATCTTAAATAGTCATAAATAAAGCTGATAAAGTACTTGTACCCACCCTCAGTAGGTATGTTTACAGGGCCCAAACATCAAAAAAGACAACATGAAAAGGCAACGTAGATATTTTATTATTTGATGAAAAAGTTGTTCTACAATGCTTGCTCTGATGCCATGTAGTTCAACAGAGAAGAGAGAAGAGGAGAGAAAATAGAGGAATCTATTCTGTTAATCTAAAACTGGCGACGCCTAAGTTAGTATTTATACTTAGGGCGACAACTCAAAAGAAATACAAGAGGAAATGGCAGAAATGCCCCTACTAAGCCACAGGCTGCTACACATTACAACAAACCCTTATGCGCACTTCCTTTCCGGTGAGAGATGTAAATTCGGTTCCTGGTTTTCCTTTCTAGATGAGCATCACTCCATTTGTAGTAATCCGAACTCATTAGGCCCTGAGCCTGTGCTTTTAATGAACTAAATTCGTGTTTACCAAAAGAAAAAAGTATAGAACAATTTGTTTTTGTGTGTGACTGCAGTAGTAGTTGTGTGCTTTGAGGTAAGCCAGGTATTCTATTTTTAGGAAGGTGTCGTCTAGGAATAGACAACTTGGGAAGTCTTCTAACCTTGATAATCCCAACTTGCACAATTGACAAATAACTAACTTGCTTTTGGATGAGTACAATTCAGAGAATGGCCAATTTTTGTGATGTTATCCATATTTTTAGGGTTTTCATGGGATATATAATTGGGAGAAAGAAGGAACCTAAGGAAGAAGATGCTGATTATTCAATTCGGTATAGAGAAAATGCAACTGTTATGTCTTAGTTATTGGTTTCCATGATTCCAAGGGTTTCTAGGATTGTCCAACACTTTCCTTTTGCATTCAAGATTTGGGATAAGGTTTCTAATTCTTATGGACAGTGGAAAAGCCAAAGTGGTTAGAGCACATTCTTAGGCCTTTTTAGGGAGCAACATGTGTCAATATGGTAGTTTGTGATTTGGGATGCTTCTTTCAACTAGATTGGCCTTGTTTCGTTTGCGGAGTTCAAATTTGTGCCCCATTGCCTCTCGCCCCACAAATGCCCACACACCGAGCATCCGCCACCTGTCCATTCGCATGTGGTCAGCATTCTTGAGTACAGGACTAACAAGACGGTCGTTAACTTGTTCTATTAGCCCCAAAACTAGCCCAAAACCCTCATTTCTACATTCCCGCCCCCTCAACCGAACGCTCATTCTAGAACTGGCTGTCCCTTGACCCTGTTCTTCTCCCCTCCACTCGAGATTGGATCCAATTCCTTCTCCGGCATCGACAATTGCTCCGGCCAGCTCACCTTGACCAGAATTCAACAATGCTCATTTTGTTTTGCTATTTTTTTTTTCATTTCAAATCAGAGAAACCCCTATTATTTTTTTTCTTTTTTTTGATATTTTTTTTTATTTCAAATCAGAGAAACCACCAGCAACAATGTTTTTTTCTTTGGCACTGGCGATACAACACACTGTAAGAAACTGTACTAGAGTGAAAGCAATAAGAGAAGGATTTCGTTCAATGAAAAAAGAAACTAAATCCTAGCTCAACCTTCGAATCGGAATAATAGAATGGTAAAAAAAGTAGAAAATTAAAACCTCCATTTCCTTAATCTACGTTTCTTGCCAAACTACTCCTTCGAGTTCCATCCACTAAATTCAAACAAAGGACACGGATACAGAATAAATAAAACGTAAATTGAGGAGGTTTAAAACAAATTCTACGGCAATAGTGATGATATACATCTCCGATATGTGAACCAAAAAAATCCCATAATTGACATCAGAACCAAAACAGAGAGAAAATAATAAAGCAAAGTGGACTTGTTGCAGCGACAAACAAAAGATCAACATTGACATGCCATAATGATCGCTGGTGGTTGTTGTTGATGGCCAGTGGTTTCTCTGATTGAAATGAGAAAACAAAATATCAGAGAACAAGGGTTTCTCTGATTTGAAATGAAAAAACAAAATAGCAACAAAATAGAGTGTTGGAGAATACCTGGTCAAGGTGAATTGGTCAGAGTGGTCGCCGGTGCCAGAGGATTTGGGTCCAAGCTCGGGTCAAGGGAGAAGAACGGGGTCAGGGGATGGCCAATTCAAGCACGAGGGATCGGTTGAGGGGGAAGGAATGTAGAAATAAGGGTTTTGGGCTAATTTTGGGGCTAACATGACAAGTTAACGGCCGTCCCGTTAGCCTCGCATGCGAAAAAACTGACCACGTGCGAATGAACAGGTGGCAGATGCTCGGTGTGGGGCGAGAGGCGGTGGGGTGCAGATTTGAACTCTTGTTTGCGATGCCGTGAAGTATCTTTTTTTGTCGTTCTCACTATCCACGTTGGTGAGGGTTTACTTTTCTTGGAACCCATGTTTAGCGTCTTACAACATTATTATTATACTTTTATTATATATGTAATAACATAAAAATAATAAAATAATATTACATGACATTATATATGTATAATAATATGCATAAAAATAACAAAAATATAATAATACTTAAATATAATCAAGGAGGATGATTTGAGCTTGAATCTTGGGTGTCAATCACCATTATGGGACTTGCATATTGTGGTTTATGTTTTAGGTACACTCGTTAAATTAATTGAAATCAAATCTAGTTTGATTCAACACTAGATCGATCTAGGAGAATTTGATTCTATTAAAGGAGAATTTGATCAATGCTTGGGCTATTAAAATTGTAAAATTCCGGCAATTAAGCCCCAACAAGGTTCGGCCTTTTTTGTGTTTTAACAGTGGTATGATGGAAGTGATGGAGATCTCAGCCCTCGAAGGAGTTCAAAATTGACACAGTGAAAATAGTGGTTTGATGCAAAGTTGCAGCAGTTTGAATCCGATACGGACCACCACACTCCCAATTAAATTTATTTGTTTATTTTTTTTTGAGTAGTGTTGCTGGTTTGATTGTCATTATTGGCTGAGAATATTCAGATCATAAATCTTAATTTGGTGTATGAATTAGAACACCAAACTCTAGGCCGAATTACTTAGGTGGGGTCCAAATTGTTGGGCCGATTTCAATGTCATTGGGTGGGCTGTTAACAACCCATAAAGATCACTTATAAGTGGCCAATTTTCTGATTTTGATCAAGGGTTTGATGGGCCATTACATGGACCAATTTGGCCCATGCTTTGAAACCCAGTTTTGTTAGATTTAAGCATTATTAGCTTATTCGGTTTTGGACTGGTGTATGGGTTGGTTTGCTTTTTTCTGTTGGGTCCATATTTTAAGTTATATTTATTTAAGAGAAACCTATACCATTATGGGTTGATAATGTGTTAATTTAAATGGACTTGTGTTTCACAAGTTTTGATTGCTTGCTTGTTTACATTGGGTGTTTATATGCTGTGTGAATGTGCTTCTATCATATGCCCATCATGGTCGAATGCATATCATTTTCATGATATTTATAGCAGATCATTAAGTGATCCCTTTCTTTGTAGGCCCCTCTCTTATTTTCTCTCCAAAAAGGGAAACCCTACAGTAACCCTAATTTGTAAGACCCACACAAATGTGACTTTTAAAAGTTAGTAGATGCCATTTTGGTGAGAGTTAAGAACTGAATTGGGGACTGTTATTTTAGTTCCCTCTTGAAGAACATAAGTGCATGACGATATAGATCAGCATTAGATGACGTCTTTAAAGGCCTTTTATAATTTATGTGAAAACGGGCTGAAGTAATAACTAGAGATGCACCATAAAATTAGGTTCTCCGCTTAACTGTAGATACCAATTAGATCAACTTCATGTAATGATAGGGGTGTTGTTGACTAGTGGGAGGTGTCTATCTTAAAATCGAAGACCCTTTTGCAATACCTTGGGGCGTCAATATGATATGTTAGTATTTACTGATTAGAATTGTTTACCCTAAAATTGATATGAACCTTATTTGATGGAAGTTAAAAGGAAAGTTCATGATGGATGAGAGGATTCATGATCCTTCATAGAAAGTGATGAGCTTATACAATTGAAATAGTTAGCTCAATGCACCTATGTGATTCTTTCCATTCTCAGAGATATGGAGAATATCTCAATCCTTAAGATAGAGGGAAGTTTCATGGATGAACAAATGAGAATGGAACATAAATAAAATCACATTTTATGATTAATAACATGAAATAATAATAGGTTGTGGATTAATTAATTTCTCGTGTAATTTTTCAGAAATGATGCACAAAGCATTCATTAGACTTCTAGATGATAATAAACTTAAAGGACTAATTTATATTAACTGATAATGCAACCTAAACATAGTATTTACTTTGAAAAACTTGACAAGGTAACTAACCAAAAGGCATAGAAGTTCCTAATGTTACACCCTTGATTCATTAGATAATTTTGTTAGAGACAATTTGATAGAGTCACCTCATATAAGGTGATTATAGATTGTGTTAAGATAATTTATAAAGAGTAGAATTATTTTGCTCGGCAAAAGGTCTTCAGACAAATATTGATGACTATGAAAATGTTTGTAAACCAATTTAGGACCGTGTTATGAAAATGATAGGGTTTATAGATGAATTAGAGACTTTCGGAAGTAAATTGGATGATGACATTAAAACTGATGCCATTCTCAATTCTTTGTCCACATTAATGAATTTGTTCTCAACTATAACATGAATACGCTAAAAATTATCTTGTAGGATCTTGGCAATATGTTGCAATGGGTTAAGGAATTAATAAAGAAGAAAAAGGTTGTTTGAAACTCAGGTCATAGAGACCAATATATTGGTCACTTTTGCATCTTGGTCTATTAAATTTGGAACCTTTATTCATGCATGTGATACTATGCAAAGGTTTAAAGAAAGCAGAAAACTGAGTGATGATGAGGTTGTGCTTTATATGGGGACATTTACAATAGTTGTAATTGCTATTATAGGAATTGGAATTGGAGGATTTTGAGGAGTTTTATTTCTTAAAGGTTCTCTTTATATACCCCAACTTAGAAATTTGATTTTAGCTTCTAAATTGTGTAAAGACAATTGTTTTATTTTATCTAGCAATAAAGTTACAACTAAATTGAAGTTTCCACCTAAATTTTTGGGGAATGCAAATTTAGGAAAATTCAAAAATTTTCAAGAAAAATGGATTTTTTCTTGGTGACTCATTACCCAATGGGGAGATAAGAGATTCTTAGGGTTTAGGGACGAGGCTACAGTGTGGGAAGGTGTTAGGCACCCCACACATGCCCGGTTAGACTTGCCTTTACTTCATCAATGTTTTAAGGATTAGTCTAATAATTTAGGCTCTAAATTAAAACTACAACACACTAAATTGTTGAAAGAAAAAAAAAACTAATTGTTATATCCTTATACCAAGAAAACAAAGACTATCAATAACCGAAGTGAGAAGAAAAACAAACAATTAGCATAAATCTAAATGAATTGAAAACTATCAATGCTAGGATTGATTCTAACAGGATGAATAAGACTAACCATTGCGAGATGAATGAGAGATTAGGAATAATAGGACAATGGAGGTTAAAGGCTAAAAGGGTGCCAAAAGATGTACGAAATAGTAAAAAGCATGTGAGATTATTGGTTACTTAAACATGTATACTAAATAAAACAAAGCTAATGAGAAGACTCAGGTACAAAACAGACTAAGGTTATTTTATCTACTCTATACTAATGCTAGGATAACTGAGCATCAGATGGAAGTATTTAAACATTCAAATGTAGGAAATGCTAATATGATGCAATACTAATGAAATTCAAAATGAAAGAGGGACCCACGTAGATATTTGATTACACAAAAACAAGGATGACTTGATGATATAATGCAGAGTGATGCATGAGTTGCACTATACAAGTGAATAAGCAGCTAAAAATATTAAAAAAGAAATAAAGGACTCTAAAGATGACCGACCTAAAGCTTACACTGGACATTGAGGAAGCTTCCTAACTCGGTAGTGCTATTCATATTTTGTTGGTTTGAAAGAAGTAATGAATATATTTTTGTATAACCAATCTTTTGTTGTTTTTTATAGCCCAATTTAGTAATAGAGTTGACTGAAAAATATGTGCAAATTTGATTTACAAATGTATGTGCAGTGTAAAAGATATACGAGTATTTGTTCAGGCCACATCAGGTTTGGGTCTGGCTTGGGCTGCCTAAGGCCTCAGCTTAACCCCAACCCAAATTTCGGTCAGACCCACATTTGTCGTGCAAGCCCAGCCCAAGCCCCCAAGATCAGGCCGATGCTGTGCAAAAACTTGGGTTGGGCTGAGAATGGGCCAGCCCAACTTACATGTCTCTCTGATCGGAATATGTAATATCAGAAAAAAAAATTAATATTAATAAAATATTCCAATTCAATTTCAGTTTAGTTTATAAATGTTATTCAATATCCAAATCCGATCCTGGTCTGATCGGAATCTAGGTGAAAAAATCTAATGCAAATCAAATATGTAAACTAATCAGAAAGCATATATGAAACTAGACCTAGATTTTTATTTTCTATTTTTTTTTGTTTTTTATTTTAACTCTTTTTTTTTTTTTGTAGAAAGGAAATTCATTAAAACCAAGAGAACCAAAGTACAACAACACAACCGCAGCACACCAGCTGAAACAAGAAAACAGAAACCTAAAGACAAGAGAAAGCAGAACAGAATAAACCATGATTAATGTACCCTTTTGATTTCTAACTGATCTGATCTTCTAAAGTGCAACACGTGGCAAATACAGACCTTGCATTCTTTTATAGGTCTTGTATCTTACAGAAATTTACAGGAGAATGCCTTGAATTCACATATGGACGGTTAAGATTGTCTTATCGGACTACAAATCATGCTTAAAATAAGAGTTTGTTTTAGACTGAACTCACAGTTAATTTACAGGAGAATAAATCATGATTAATGAGACGAATGCAGTGTGCCCTGGTATGCTTGTCTTGTACGTATTCATTTAACACGTACAGTCAAGAAATTCCCCTGCGCTCGGGTTCTGGATCCCAGGCCACTTTTCAAAGTCCTCAATTAATAGGGATAATTAATCTCTTCCACTCTATCTTCACGTTCAGATCCGAAGACCCTCCAAACATTTCATAATTGCATCCTCAAGGTTTGCGACTGCGTTACAGTGTGCCATCTTGTAGTGGGAGGAT